GACGTAGCGCCTTCGTTGTAGGTGTAGAATGTTCGGCCTCTGGATTGTGTTCCGGCGGCGCAAGTGAAGGTGGCAATGGCAAAGTGCGTTGTAATGCTGACGAGTTGAGTTCCGTGTCGAGAGCGAGGAGCCGCGCGCGCTTGTTCTATTGCGAACATCGGTGGTGTCGGTGGTGTGTCGTGCGAGCAGGCGTTTGGGAGACCGGGAAGGTGAGACAAGGCATCAGCCACCTGATTGCGCGCACCTTGAACGTAAGCAATGTGAAAATCCGGAAACTTGGCCAGGAAATCTAACCACTGGGCGGTGCTTTCGCGCAGAGGCTTCGATGCTTGGAGTCGTTGGAGATAGGTGAGAGCTTGGCGATCAGTATGAGCCGTGTATAGGGCTTCGTGGTGTCAGGGACTTGTAATGCAGTGAAATCGATTAAGCGCTGTTTGAGCTGCCTCACTGCCTCCGTGTGAAGCTCTGTTAATTTGAAACGAGCGTCTGTACTCGTAAGATCAACCAGCGGACGGGCGGCGTCAGCCTAGTCAGGTCCCAAAACATGCAAAAGTAATTTATGGCGCGAGGAACTGGCACGCCTGCGTCTCGCTCTCCAGCACCTCTGGCCAATGCCGAATGGGTTCAGGAGGGTCACGTAGCGCCTTCGTTGTAGGTGTAGAATGTTCGGCCTCTGGATTGTGTTCCGGCGGCGCAAGTGAAGGTGGCAATGGCAAAGTGCGTTGTAATGCTGACGAGTTGAGTTCCGTGTCGAGAGCGAGGAGCCGCGCGCGCTTGTTCTATTGCGAACATCGGTGGTGTCGGTGGTGTGTCGTGCGAGCAGGCGTTTGGGAGACCGGGAAGGTGAGACAAGGCATCAGCCACCTGATTGCGCGCACCTTGAACGTAAGCAATGTGAAAATCCGGAAACTTGGCCAGGAAATCTAACCACTGGGCGGTGCTTTCGCGCAGAGGCTTCGATGCTTGGAGTCGTTGGAGATAGGTGAGAGCTTGGCGATCAGTATGAGCCGTGTATAGGGCTTCGTGGTGTCAGGGACTTGTAATGCAGTGAAATCGATTAAGCGCTGTTTGAGCTGCCTCACTGCCTCCGTGTGAAGCTCTGTTAATTTGAAACGAGCGTCTGTACTCGTAAGATCAACCAGCGGACGGGCGGCGTCTGCCTAGTCAGGTCCCAAAACATGCAAAAGTAATTTATGGCGCGAGGAACTGGCACGCCTGCGTCTCGCTCTCCAGCACCTCTGGCCAATGCCGAATGGCTTCGATTTCGTCTTCTGCAGGTTTGATCCTTGCAGCAGTGACTGTATAGCCCAAATATGTGATTGCTTGCCTGGCAAAATTGTATTTGCGGAATTTTGGTTAAAACTAATTTTTATGAAAAATACTGACGAGTTGTCGCGGGAGAGAAACCTGCCTAGAGACGTAGGGACTACCGATAAGTCTCTCATCTAGGTACGCAGTAACGCCATGTCCTAATAAACGTTGTAGATAGGCATTAATATTTGCTTGGAACGTAGCTGGTGCACCCTTAAGCCCAAAAGGGCATAACTTGGTATTTGAATAATGCCAGGGCGGAACGGAAAGCCGTCATCCAGCGACCCTGCGTAGCCATATGTATTTAATGGAAACCTGCTGTACTACGCCGTGCTCTATGCAGCTACTGCGATGCTACATGTTTTTCAACTAGGGCGCCCTATGAAATTGTCTCTACTTTCGACGCATTTCTCATGAAACGAAGACCAAATTATCAAAAGGGCACTCCTCTTTCCAGTTCTCAATCCCCAAATTTCTCAAAAGTTGCTCACTCATGGTTCTCGCTTTCTTGGCCCGGAAGGGCGGTGACCCGCACCGGTGCCGGCGTTATCGCCAGCCCCAATCTTAGAGTAGTCATAGACATTTCTAGTTTATGCATGTTTTGCCGACAAATTGCTTCCCTATTTGACTAGGAATAAGCTTCCGCGCATGAACAGCGTCTCAACCGCTTAACCTCTTAAATGTTACCAGCTGACTATTTTCTAAAGGTCACCAGCAAGCTCCATTGTCGTGCCTGCGCACTACAGTTCTGGCGAGCGGAAAGTGCTCATCAGGGTGTGCTACGAAGTATCAAATGCCCTGGCCGTTGTCAGTTCCCCACACACGTTATTTATGCTGTTCCAGATGTATTGGGGGAAACTAAATACATTTCTACCTTGGTGGCAGAAGCAAGATTTCATGAGCCATGCGTTCCCAATAATGGCAGAGGGACAGGTGAAAAACTGTTTCGAGTCAATTGCGGTGGCATGAGGTAATGCATTCTCGCCTGAAGAAGGTTCCAGCTACATTTCAAACAAACAGTAAAAAAATCGATGGAAAGGTCATGAAATATTTGGACGAGGTGGGAGATGCCGACATCAGGCACTCTTTGGTGGGAGATACAACCCGAGGGAGCCAGAGTTAGATGGCGAATTTAGGGCTAGTCAGAAATAG